CCCAGGCTGGGAAGAACTGTGCTTTCTTTCCCCGCATGGAAAGAGCTTGATCTTTGTCAATATTTAGAGGCTGTATGCAATAACCTGCCATAGCGAGTGAAGAATTCCTGGAAATAAGCGCCTGGCCTTTTATTGCCACTTTGCTGCCGAGAAGGGCTTTCACTCGCTCTGCTCGGGGTGCAGAATTACGGTGGCATCCCGCAATCTAAAGGTCACAGTCTGCTGTTACTATTTTTTTTTTTTTAATGAATTTCTATGTTGATACTTTACGCTTGTGCATAAATAGAAGCGTTTGACGGCCGGATGGGCTATAGTCTTAAAGGTGATTTTTGCCTTTTTTTTTTTTTTTAAGCACCTGTGTTGTACCCAGCATTAAGGTTTGTGCAGTTGACTTCGCATCGTGCGAGCGGCTTCCTCCGCGCGTGCGAGCGCTGCACCGAGGGGAAAAACGTGGTTCATTGTGCGCGGCCGCGCAGCGAGCAGCCGGGTCCGCCGCGCACGGGGGTGGCCGCATCCCTCCCGCCCTTCAGCGCCTGCGGATCGTGCTGTCTGTCCGTCTGTCTTGCTGGGGAGTTGCAAAAGCCCCGACTTTGTTTTCGTGCGTTCCAAACCTGTGATTATATCGCAGTGCCCGCCCCCTCCGCGCGCAGGGGGAAATAAAGGGGGCAGGGCTGGCTGGCGCTGCGATTGATTAGGCTGCAATCATCACCCTGTTAATCCCGGTGCTCATCGGTTTTCTTCTGGTACGTCGGGCTCACGCTGGATTGAGGATCTCTTGCGTGAAATGAGCCTTCCCGTGTTGTCTGGAGTCTCTCCGTAGACGGGGAGATGGTGGATGTGCCTCGGAGCCCAACCATTTTAAAAACTGCTCCCTCTCCTTCGGCGTCTGCAGAAACAGGGATGTTTCTTTGCTGCATCTTGATGCTTCAGTTTCTTCCACTGTGTGTTTTTCAGCTGGAGCTGTGGTTGTGTGCCTCTCACTTTCAGAGAAATACGTGTTGTTGGAGGGAAGGAACGGACTGATCAATTTTCTCCATTTTAAATGTAAAGAATTTAGGAGCTAGAAAGGCTTTTCTAAAAGTAGTAGTTTCAGGTTGAAAACAAAGGGAAGTTCTTTGGCTGTACTGACTGTGGGGCCAACTACAAAAAAACAAAAGTGAGCAAGAAGCACATAGATGGAGTCTGTAATGCACGTTGAGTAATATTGTGTTTCATTAGCCAGTGGTGAATGCCAATTAACTCCTTGCAAATTAAGGCCCAACTCAGGCTTTTGCGTTGTAATGGCAGGGCCGGCCGGGGCTGGAGAGCCGCAGTCTTACTTCCACCAGTTGAACTTTTTGGCTAGAGCTGTTTGCAGGAGGGAAGATTAATCTCTTTAAGTTTAAAAACAAAACCCCAGTGCCCTTCTCCAGGAAAGGGCTTACAAAGGATTGAGTGGTGTGGAGAAACAGAACAGGAGAGGAGGAGGAGATCTGGTGTATCCTTAAACTGTGAGGATACACGCTTACAATTTTTTTTCTTGTCTTACCTGGTACAGAACACCTTCAAATAAAAACGCTCGCCCAGCTCTGGCAATAAAATAACGCAGGAACAGTATGTTAGGATTTCAGGTTTCAGTCCTCTGAAGTGTTCGCAGTTGCCATTTAGCTAAAATGACCCAATTAAAAACCTCCCAAATGAAATAACCTTCCTCTGAAGAAGATCTAGGCGTTTAAATGTGGGAAGATATGCTGAAAAACTTGTCTTAGCGGAATACTGCCTCTAATCGATCGTCTTTGTAGTTTACAGTTTAATAGCCTTTGTTTTCACGAGTTATTGCTGAAAGAATTTTGCTGTTAGGGGGAAAAATGATCTTCAGAGCAGATGTTTTGCATCTCTTCATATTCTTCTCTCTCCCCACAATAGTGGAAGGAAGATTAATCTTAATTTTTATTTGTTTTTCATATATACTGTGTCATAGCTAAAAGGCACTTCCATTTTCGGTCAAACAAGCAAGGCATTCCTAAATAGGAATACAAAGGCGTTACAACTGGAGGGGAGAGACCCATCCCTTTAATGCTAAATTATATAAAATCTGTTCGTGGTTGTATGACAGAAGCCTCTTTAAAAATGCAGGTAGCTTCAGTGGAAAGCTTCTGATTCAAAACCAGTCATTAAAAAACGCTGAGAATTTCCAGAAATCTTGTTAGAATGGCACAAAAATAAAAATAAAAAAGGACCTTTCGTTAAGATCAAGTGTGCTGGCGTAACAATGCATTTAATGCGTAAAACTACAACTGTTGGAGACCGTTTCATCCTAGGGTGGGTTTAAGATGAAGTGTAAACTCGGTGTTTTCTTCCTTTTCTACATTGAGTGTGATGGGGTTTTGATTTTCACTCTTGTATATGTTTACAAAGGGAATGTCTGGAAGGGAGTCGGTTAAACATTTAGAACAAAAATAATGGTTTTACATCTGATGGTACTTCAGACTGATAGCTGTCTTGTTGGATCTGCTCGTGTTGGCTCTGAGCTTTTTTGTTTGTCTATCCAGGCTATATTTTATGCTTCTGATGTTAACAAACAGTAGCTCATGCTGTGTGTTTAATCTCACTCCCAGGTTGCTTAGTAAAAACCCTGATGGCCTCCTGAGTGTCAGCATTACACACACCCAGCTTTCACATCAGCGTTTTCATATGTGGGTAATGATGGTGTTAAATGGGTGCTGGATAATTCCTTATCTAATTGAGGTTGTGAACAGAAAATGCCAGAGTGTTTAAGGAATTGGTATCAGTCGGACTCACCAGAAAGAGAGGAAAGTGTTCAGGGAGTGATGGTGACTGGAGTCCATGGGAAGGAGCGGTGAGCCGGGCAGTACTTTGACTTTTTTTTGATTGTGTTAGCTTGTGCTTTCAAAGCATTTCCATAGCAGAACTGGAGCAAAGGCGTGTTATGACTCAGAAACTGAAAGGGTTAGGAAATGGTAGTGACTTAGCTAATATCAGGCAAAATGTGTTAAGAATGCGAGAAAGCAGAGGGAATGGGTGTGGAAGGAAGATGTGTGCTCAGAAGTTTCAGTGCTGAACCAACATTTGAGAGAGAAATACTCTTGTTTGTATAAAGTGAAGGAAATTTAACTTAGGTCTTGAGTATGTTGTGAGAAATGAGGAGGAAGGGGCTGCAGAGAGCGAGAAGACAGATCAATTAGTTTAACTGAAGTACAACAGAACGCATGATTTATTGCTTCAATAGGGAAATTCAGATTTGATAAACTATTGTGTTAATGTTTATGTCACTTTTTCCCTGACCAGTTGTTCCTTCAACCTAATTCTAGAATATAGTTAAAGCACAACTTCAGTGACACTGAAATTGTTTTCGTCTTGAGATATACGCACGAAATCTAGTGTTGAGGAATTTCCATGTGATGATTTTTGAATCTGTCTTAACTGGTAAATAATTAATTTCTATCAGTGTATGTTACCTTGGGAAAAGTTCTTTCAAATCCTGTTTGATTTTCTGCTAAACTGGCATTTGCTAAGAAAAATCTTCCAAGAGGAGGTCTTCAGTGAGGAGAATTTTTTTTTTTTTTTTTAAACGTCTGACACTTAGAATTAAAATACATTTCAGGACTGTAGCTACTAGCTTTAAAGGACAATTTCAGTTCATGTTTAACTGAAGCTTTTTTCTCTTCCCCAATAGGTTGGTTTTTTTTTTTTTCCTTTTTACTCTGAGGTAGATTTTACCAGTGATCACTGAAACTATTAACTCAGAGAGACTAGAGGAGGCAATTTTGTTAAATGATTAATTATATTATGTGTATATTCCATCTGTGTGAATTGTGAGCTACCACAAACTTCATTGTAGAGAAGTTAGTTTATGGTCCTGAACTTTGAAAGAGAGGAAATAATATATGCAGGAAACCTGTTTTCTCACACTGGATGTTAACTTTATGATCCCACACAGAAAACAACTTACCTAGCTCATCATCTGTAATGGCCCTAAAGTTCATAACTTACAAAGTGTACTGATTTAAATTATTTAAAAAAAAAATAGAGTATTTCTCTAGATTATCTGTAGTTAAATTAATAAATTTTGTGAGCATTATTTTACTTTCTTGAAAAGGTGATAACTGAGAAGCAGTGACAACTTTCTGAAAAGTTCTTGAAACTTTGGTTTCTGAAATTAAATACATTTTTATTTGGATTTTAGTGTAAAGCTTTCCCGTTTGGAAATGCTTTGTGACGTTATCAAGTAGCAGCTGTTTTTTATTTATATGTGTGAGTGCGCACATAGGAATGGGTAAACTGCAGTTTGTTATTGAAAACTATTGTGTATGTTACTAAATTTTAAAAAAGCTGCAGTTTGAGTAATTGTCTCAAGAGTCTCATAATTAAAGTTGTTGCAGATTTGTAGTTTCAGTTTATTTCAGATCTTTCTGACCAAGTGGAGCTTTTAAGGTTTCTGGGCTTAGGTGGTAATGGAACGTGCTGCTGTTAAGAGTTCTGTGTTCAAAAAGACTTCAGGAATGCAATGATTTGTTTGAAAGGTAGAAATACTGTTTTAGTATTTTGATATATTTGACATGTATAATTTTTCTATCACTGTAAATTGTATAGACAGCTTCTTTGTGTAGGTTAGCTGGATTAGTTTTTATGATTTATGAAAGCCACTTTAAAAAGAATAATTTAATTTTTTTTTTATTGTACAAAAGCGGCACTCAACAAACAGTAGTTGATGAAGACACATTTGCGGTTGTTAGCCAGCCTGTTTCGTGTGTGGATTTTTGGAGTTGTTTTTTTTTCCCCTTTAGCCAAGTCATGACAGGTACAATCTGGAGTACTGTATTTGTCTTTTTTTCTGTCCAGAACTGTCTGAGACAGACTTTGAGGCCCGGCACATGGTTAGCAACATACCATGTTCATCCATACATTTCGGTGCTCTGCAGACAGAGCTGCACCAAGTCCTCAAGCTCAAAAATAGGCTCTAGTTCCCTTAGGCAGGACTTGTTTTTGCTGAAGAGGTTTGATAGTAGTTTGGCTTACTCATTAATTAAGGAGGTGCATTCTGGCAAAACTGGTGTTACCGTGGTGGTGTGTTGTGAAGGTTTAACTTGCATTAATCACTGAAAGTTTTTCTTTTTAACCTTTGCAAATACTAAATATGAGCAGTTCCCTTAGGATATCTTTCAAGACACCAATTAACTTTTTCAATGTTGATATCCTCGAGAAGTTGCTGTTGTGGCACAAGATTATTTAAAATGTGCTGAAAAGCAAAATTACTATTTATTTACAGATTGATTTGCATATGACTTGTAAGCTTTAATGTAATATAGTTTTATTTATTTATTATTTTGGAAATATCCAGACATGTACATTTCCTGTTAATCTGTTCCTTGATAAACTTGATGGTATGAGCAGAAGTAAGCATCTATATGTTCAGTGACCCAGTTTTTCAAGGAGACTGTGGTCTTTGAGCTAACCCAGTGAGAAGGGACCTCACACCTCAATAAAGTACTAGGATTATTCCTCTAGAGGAACAAATCCACTTAGTAAATATTTTAGTAGAACAGCAAATGTAT